GAGGCTAACGAAAGCTAAATGGATAATATAGTTTGAAGTTTCGGAGATTGTGATTGTCTGTCTCTTCTTTTATAGCTACACCTGGAACTCGTATTTTTAGGATAGTTTGCAATATGTATATGTGTACACACAGATACGCACACACATATATATATAATTTATTTTTTCTCTCTCAACCTTCCCTTACAACAGAAGCCCCCAAATCACTTTCTTGGGGAGATTTGTTATCCTCATCACATCTGTTTGAAAAAAGGACAAGCTAAAACAATGCAGGTAGTCCTCGACTTACAAAAGTTCATTTAGTGACCGTTCAAAGGTACACCGGCAGTAAAAAAAAGCGACTCTTGACCGTTTTTCACAGTTACGATTTTGGCATTGTCCCCATGGTCACACAATCAAAATTGAGACCTATGGCAATTGATTCATATTTATGACCGTTGCAGGGTCCTGCGGTCTTGTGATCAGCTTTTGCGACTTTCTGATGAGTAAAGTCAATGGGGAAGCCAGATTCACTTAACAACTGAGTGACTAATTTATCAGCTGCAGTCATTCACTTAACAACCATGGCAAGGAAGCTTGTAAAATGGGACAAACACACTAAACAAGCATTTCACTTAGCAGCCTAAATTTGGGGCTCAATTGCAGTCGTAAGTGGAGGATGACCTGTAAACAAGTTGGGGGATATTTCAGCTAAAGTTTAAAGAAATTTTCTGTTCTGGTTAACCTGTGATATCACGGGGCTCCAGTGATAAAAGGAGAAATATCCCATTTTGTCCTTTGGGATTTGATGGTCAAAAAGATGCTGCTGAAAGCAGTTTTCGACACATACAGGTAAATCAATGTGTAGGAACCAATGGGAAGCCTACTTATCAAGGCACCAAATTCTTAATGAATTTAGCAACCTGTAGAATCTCTTGGTAAGCGAGATGGGCAGCTGATCAATTTAATTAATCAATAAATAAACCTGTACCTGGCCACGTGTTCCCACTGGGAACAAGCCTGCTGAACAGAAGTGAGAACCACAGCAGTGTGCGTGTGCATTGTGGATGGGTGTGAGCACTCACACACCCACGTGTTGCGTTGCCGGCTTCTCCAGTTCAAACCCTAATTAGGGCAAAGGGGGTGAAAACATCCAAAGAGTCACTTGCCAGACTCTTTAGCTAACAGGAAAGAAGCAAGTGGGGGGTTTGAAGGCTCGGTAAACAAAGTCAAGCAGAAAACATGTTGTGACATCAGATAACGAGAGATTCCCCCACCCACCCAGGGGAAGCACAAGTCATACGACACTTCTCCGGTAGCAGCCGAAAACATTTGGTAGCTCTTTTTATTATTATTTTTCTTGGAAGATGTCTCTCTCCGCTCGGCTGGCCCCATGGAAGAGGCTCACGAGAAATGGGAGAAAAATATTTCCCAACTGCTCTTGTCTGTTTTGGCTGCTGCCTTTCTTCCTTCTCTCGACAGAGATAATGATGGCAGCATCTGTGGCGGCTGTGTTAAGAGCGCACAAATAAACACGTTTTCAAACTGTGCGCGACGGGAGCATGACATCGGCATGGCCTCAGTGCAAGGAATACAGGCAGTCCTCAACTTACGACACCAGCGGAGTTCAAAACTGCTGTGGCTAACGTTTGATTCAATGTGCAACTTCCTTTTGAAGTGGTACAGGTAGGCACAATGAGAATGTATCTGCTGCAAAATTCCGCATGGGGCAACGGGAAGGGCATCCGGCCAGTAAACATTCAGCTCATTCAGTTGCCTCGCAAGGGATTATGGGGTCATTAACCGACAACTAGTCCTATGACTTAAGACCACAACTGAGCCCAAAATTTCTGTTGCTAAGCTGTTTAATGAAGTTTGCTCCGTTTAATGACTTTTCTCGCCACGGTTGCTAAGCGAATCGCTGAAGTTGTTAAGTCAGGAACACAGCTGTTAAGTGAATCTGGCTTTCCCATAGTCAGCATGACCCTGGGACACGGCAATCGTCATAAATATGAGTCAGTTACCAAATGTCTGAATTTTGATCATGGGCATCATGGGGATGCTGCAGGGGTCATAAGGGTGAAAAACGGTCATCCCTTTTTTCAGTGCCACTGTAACTTTGAATGGTCACTAAATGAACTGTTGTAAGTTGAGGATTATCTGTACATGCAAATGAATGGTCAATCCACACACAGTTTCAGAGTCCGCATAACGTCCCATTTAGAATTAAACATTTGGGCATGATCTCTCTGACCCCTTCCAAGTCTGAGATCTTACTCAGTCTCTACGGATCCAGAGACTTACGTGGCAGTGGCTGAAACTGAGCGACCATTTAATGTAAAGTCTTCTCAATCCAATCTATCTGTGGACCAGGTTGAATCTCAGTATGATGGAATGCTGTCCGGAATGCCAAAAGGGGACTGCTTTCCAAAGGAGCCAAAGACAGATATCCCAAAAGTGCTTTTTCAAGAGGCAACTGGACTTTCTTGGATTTTCCTTGAAGATGTTTTGCTTCTCATCCCAGAAGCTTCTTCAGTTCTTTGGCTTCTTGGACGATTGCTTCTCATACAAGGAGCTTCTTCAGTTCTTTGGCTTCTTGGATGATCGCTTCTCATCCCAGAAGCTTCTTCAGTTCTTTGGCTTCTTGGATGATCGCTTCTCATCCAAGGAGCTTCTTCAGTTCTTTGGCTTCTTGGATCATCGTTTCTTATTTGCTTCTTCAGTTCTTTGGCTTCTTCGATGATCATTTCTCATCCCAGAAGTTTCTTCAGTTCTTTGGCTTCTTGGATGATCCTTTCTCATCCCAGAAGATTCTTCAGTTCTTCGGCTTCTTGGATCATCGTTTCTTATTTGCTTCTTCAGTTCTTTGGCTTCTTGGATGATCCTTTCTCATCCCAGAAGCTTCTTCAGTTCTTCAGCTTCTTGGATGATCCTTTCTCATCCCAGAAGCTTCTTCAGTTCTTCAGCTTCTTGGATCATCGTGTCTTATTTGCTTCTTCAGTTCTTCGGCTTCTTCGATGATCATTTCTCATCCCAGAAGCTTCTTCAGTTCTTTGGCTTCTTGGACGATTGCTTCTCATCCAAGGAGTTTCTTCAGTTTTTGGCTTCTTGGATGATCATTTCTTATCCCAGAAGCTTCTTCAGTTCTTCGGCTTGTATGAGAAGTGAAAAACCAAGAAAGCCCAGTTGCCTCTTGAAGAAAGCACCTTTGGAATAACCATGACCTGGATGACTAAGAATCTCCATAGACACACAGTTCAGATAGTATATGTGAGAGAAAGAGGGTGAAGATAGCTCCTCCCTAACAGTTCCCAGAGTACAGGTAGTCCTTCACTTACACCCATTTAAGTGGCCATTTGAAGTAACAACAGCACCAAAAAAGTGCCTTATGACCAGTGCCTTTCAGACTTACAACCATTGCAACATCGCCGTGGTCATGTGATCGAATTTTAAATGTTTGACATTTGGCATGTATTGACGATAGTGTCCACATGATTACGTTTTGCGACTTTCCGACAAGCAAAATCAACGGGGAAGCCCCCATCACTTAACAACCGTGTTACTAACATCATAACTGCAGTGATTCACATAACAAATGAGGTTGGGGCGAAACTCACTTCCCAACTGTCTTGCTTCCAACAAGTTAAGTGTTGGATGTTTCTTCTGCATGTTTTGCATTTTATTTTTGCTGACAAAAAGAAAATAAACACATTGAAGAAATCCGAGTGGCTTGGTTAGCAACAGAAATTTTAGGCTCAATGGTGGTCATACTTTGAGGAAAACCTATACAGTAGAACCTGTGGTCACAACTGTCATTCGTTCCGTAACTTCAGTCGCAACCCAATTTGGTCATAACCGGAAGCGAGACTGACTGAGCATATAAAAAAAAAATGGTGCGGAAGGGGAAATCGGCTGCAGCCGTGTTTGATCGCCACCCGAGTATGTGTTTGTGACCAGATTCAAAAAGTTATCAATGTTTTGGTCAGAACCCGATTTAGTCATGATCAGAAGCATTTGTGACCAGAGATTCTATTGTATATGTTTTGTGGTGCAGCGAGTCTGCTTTAATTCACTAAGATTTCTGTCCACAGGTAAGAAACAATAAAGGAATCTGTTTGGAAGAATCTCAGGGTCAACTCAAAAATATTTCTCTGATCTTTTACAGTTGCCAGCAGAAAGGGAGTGGGGGAAGGAGTACATTCCTTAAATGCTTTCATAGATAATTTCTAGGCAACCAAAGCTTCTGCCCACAAGATTATTACTGCAGAGCATGATGGATGACTCTTGGCTATGGATGTGTCCCATTGGAGAATATACATCCAGGGGATGGAAGACCAGGGTCAAGGGTGAAATGAATGATGTGTCTCAGAGTCGGCTAACCCAGGTAGCACCGGAATGCTCACTCCTAATAAATCTTCTTTAACCTTTGAGATGCGGCTAGAGAATCATGATTTAAATGGAAGTGGATGCCAGAACCCTGGCACTTAATGTGTGTTTTGTTTTGTTTTTGGAGCCTGACACTCAGGAACCATTTTTATGACCACGCTGACCCCAACCATCAACCCAATTTAAGCAAATTCTATAGCACAGGGACAGTGGTGGAATTAAAAATATTCTACTACCGGTTCTATGGCTGCGCGCTTCTCGCACGCATAAACAAACAATAAAGGAGAACGCGTTCAGAGCGTTCTAAAATGGGCAATTTTAAGCATGAAAACTTACCTTATCATCAAGCGCTGGTGAGTAAAACAGCTGAGGCGCGACAATCTTTGCCGCGCCTATCAGCTGAGCTACAAAGAAAGGAAATATAGGACAGGAAAGGGCGGAGCCAACTGCTGACTGGCGCTACCGGATCGCTAGAACCAGTGCGAACCGGCAGCATGCCACCACTGCACAGGGATCTCGATACTTGGCAACGTTAAGACTAGTGGACTTCAACTATGCTGGCTGAGGAATTCTGGGAGTTGAAGTCCACCAGTCTTAGCGTTGCCAAGTATCGAGATCCCTGGTATAGAACAAGTAATTTATGCCAGGATTTATGCCAGTCTTACCCACATGCAGGCTTCCAGCCTGACTTTGGACATGATGGTCCATAACGAAATGGATCCTACCACTCCCTCTTTCTCGGGGCAGATAATCTGGTCCGGGTAGGGCGGCTCGGGAAAATTCACTGAGTTACATTCATAAGCCGCGAGTGTCACCGATGCTATATGTGGGCCCTGCAGAGGGGAAGAAGAGGGGAAGGAAGACGATTGGTGGCAATTCATTTCATTTGACACAAACAAACAATAAAGGAGAATATTTGTAGATCAGGGGTCCTTGGTGCTCTCTGAGCTTGCCTGTTTTCTTGCAGACGTTTCATTACCCAACTAGGTTAACATCATCAATAGTTATTAACAGCATCCATAGACTAGCCGTATATGGCTGTGTGGTGGCACAGTGTGTGATGACCCCGGGTGGGGATACAAAACACAGTCACAAAAACCCGGTTGAGGCCCTTTTATTCCTTCGCTTTGCTTCCAAGCTCCAAATATCCTTGCCTGGAGACAAAAAACTCCCACACAAGCAGTTACAAGAAGGAGGGAAAAAAACAACACAAACCAGGCAAGATAAGGGCTGGAGGACATCCACAGATAACAGAACACACACTGGGAAGGACGCCAAACTCAAAGAGGAACAATAAACTAGAGATATTTCCATGCTTTGTTTCCAGCACTTGCCCCTACGCATGTCTGTCCTCTTATCCAGTTGTCACAGCTGCAGCCCATGAAGAGGATCAAGGCCCTCTCCTCCTGAGTAGACCATGTCTCTCCCTTATCCTCTCCTCCCTGTGTGCTCTAGGATGGAGAGGGGATGGGCCTGGGTCCTCCTCTAACTGCCCAGCTGGCCTCTGCCCTTCCCCAGCCTCCTCCACAAACCCCGGAGCCACACTTCCATTCCCTGTCGGCTGTTCCTCCTCTGACTCAGAGCCAGTCTCCACCAGGGGCATGACACAGTGTTAAGCAATAGCAATAGCACTTAGACTTATATACTGCTTTACAGTGCTTTACAGCCCTCTCTAAGCGGTTTACAGAGTCAGCCTATTGCCCCCAACAATTTAGGTCCTCGTTTTACCAACCTCGGAAGGATGCAAGGCTGAGTCAACCTTGAATCCGGTGAGATTGGAACTGCCAAATTGCAGTCAGTCGGCAATCAGCAGAAGTAGCCTGCAGTACTGCACTCTAACCACTGCGCCACCACGGCTCATTAGAATACAGTACGGCAGGCTAATTCTGTCGACTAACAGCAGTTCGATCCTCTCCAGGCTCAAGGTTGACTCAGCCTTCCATCCTTCCAAGACCAGTAAAACAAGGACCCAGATTGTTGGGGGCAAGATGCTGACTCTGTAAAATGGCTTAGAGTGGGCTGTAAAGCACTGTGAAGCGGTATATAAGTCTTAAGTGCTATTGTTACGCAAAAGAGACAATCCAGTAGCCAAAAAGGGAATTAAAAGACCCCAACTACCTCTCCACCAGCAATCAGCACCCAGATCAGCATAGATTTACTCCAAGGTAAATCAGACCAACAATCAAGTAAATCAGACCAACAATCAAGTAAACAATACCCCAATCATAAAACTGCCAAAGAAGCCAACAGCAAACAGCCCAGCCAAAGAATCTCTTAAGACCACCGTCACCAAAACTGACAGGGCAAGACACTAGAATATAAACTGAGAGCAAACCACGCTCCCCTTCTAGCACTGATGATGTTACCTAGTTGGGTCATGAAGCGTCTGCAAGAAAACAATCATGCTCAGAGAGCACCAGGGACTCTTAATAAACAAACAGTAAGTTCTTGTTATAACCCCATGCTCTAACCTAGAGTGCCCTCAGCATTGGGACTCCCAATTCCCATAATACTCCAAAACAATTCCCTGTAGTCCGACCACAATACAAAAGGCATTTCGGTTCCTTTTCATTAATTACAAGGTAGAATTGTGCTAAGATCTCTGGAGAGCTATCTTTTTCCGGGAGGTTTCCCCCTCCCCGCTTCCCACCTCTGTCCCTCATGACTCAGAGTTTGTCCTGGCAGCACTGCGGGGGCGGTGGGGAGGCCCTGGCCAGTGGCCAAAGCTACCTTCCCTTCCTAAAGTACAGTCCGGGGAGGTAAAGGAGGAGGAGGAAGAATAAAATGCAATAAAAAAGCACAGCCAACAAGAAAGCGTGACTGTGTGACTCACTCTTCTATCCCTACCTTACATGAGAATTTTATTTTTTGCTCAGCCAGTTTAACCCTGGGGATGATGACTCCCAAATGTCTGTCCAAGAGTCACTCATGAGGTCACCACAACGTGTTTTGGGGCAAGCCTGGGACAAATTATTTGTTCCCTCTTGCTGAATATTCCAGATGTTTGACTTACAGAAAGGGTCGAGGGTGAAGGGGGGGGGAAGAGTCCTTCCAATGACCTGCTTCCTGATTTTCCAGCAAGAAAAATTGTAAAACAGGCCAAAACTCACTTAACAACTAGGTTGCTTAGCAATGTTGGACTCAATTGGGGTCGTAAGTCGAGGACTACCTGCATTTTCTCCAATAACACGAATAATCAGCAGAACGACTTGCCTCCAGAAATTGCGGAGGCGCCAACACTGTTTTTTTTTTTTTTAAAGAAGAGATTGGACAGCCAGTTAGAACAACAGAGTTGGAAGGGACCTTGGAGATCTTCTAGTCCAACCCCCCCCTGCTCAGGCAGGAAACCCTACACCCAGGGGTGTCAAGCTCGATTTCATTGAAGGCCGCATCAGGATTGTATTTTACCTCGGAGGGCCAGAGTGGGCGTGGCCAGAGTGGGCGTGGTCAGCTCGACATCACTCGTGTCAGGGGTGCCTGTGGTGGCCCGAGCCCCCGGCCAGAGAAAACAGGCTCCTGAGCTCCGTTTTCGGCTGCAACGGCCTCCTGTAAGTAACCCTCTGCCAATGAAAACGGAGCTCAAGAGGGCTGTGTGCAGCCCACCCGAGTTCTGTTTTTGCTGGCAGAGGCATCGCAGGCCAGTCTTTCGCCGTTTCCAGGGTGTCCCTGCGGGCCAGATCGAATCACCCCGTGGGCCGGATCTGGCCCCCAGGCCTTGAGTTTGACCCCCCTGCCCTACACCATTTGAGACGAATGGTTATCTGATCTCTTCTTAAAAACCTCCCGGGATGGAGCATTGACAACTTCTGGAGGGAAGTCGTTCCACTGGTTAATTGTTCTGTCAGGAAATTTCTCCTTAGTTTTAGGTTGCTTCTCTCCTTGTTTAATTTCCATCCATTGTTTCTTGTCCTGCTTTCAGGGGCTTTGGGGAATAGGTTGACCCCCTCTTCTTTGTGGCAGCCCCTCAAATATCGGACCACTGCTCTCATGTCACTCCTAGTCCTTTTCATTAAACTAGACATACCCAATTCCAGCAACCGTCCTTTATATGTTTTAGCCTCGTTTGTCTGAATGCTCAAAGGTTTCCTGTTTGAGCAGGGGGTTGGACTAGAAGGCCTCTAAGGTCTCTTCCAACTCAGTTATTCTGTTAACTGGGGAGACACAGGTTGGAGGAAGATCTTCTGATGCAAACCTACATCATTCTATCACTCCCCTCAAGTCTCCACAAGAGATATGTACTTTTACTTCCATATTGTCTGAGATTTCCACTTTCCTGTCCAGGTAATCAGTGGAATGAACCCAAATTCTTTCTAGAAGATAGAAATCTGGCCCGATTTGGAGAAAACCCAATAGGAATCTTGAAACAAAGTCCTATTACTGTGAGGTCCTTGGTGCACTTCTACCTTGAGCTATAAATGTTCTCGTTGTGGTAATTAGTAATGAGTTCCATTATTAATAGAGTATTTGTAGCTCAGGGATGAACTGTGTGGGGTCCTTGGTGCTGTCTCAGCTTGGTTGTTTCCTTGGAGACATTTTATGACCCAATTAGGGAACACCATCAGTGCTCTGGCAAACCTCACTCCCTTCTAGCATTGATGATGCTACCTAGTTGGGACATGAAACGTTGGCAAGAAAACCATGAAGCTCAGAGAATATCAAGGACCTCCTCCTCCCTTGCAAACCCCACTGTCTTCAAGGATCCCACAATCCTCCTCCTTCTCCTGTACTCTGTAAACCCTACTCCCTTCCTAGACTGATGATGTTGCCTAGTTGGGTTGTGAAATGTCAAAAAGAAAACCAAACTCAGACAGCATTCACAGTCCTCCTCCTCCCCCCTTCCCTTTCTTCTTCTTCTTCTTCTTCTTCTTCTTCTTCTTCTTCTTCTTCTT